GTAAGATGGCATGCAGAAAACATAAAATTAAAAATTTGAAAACATAATTTATGAAATAAAGAGCAATTATGATCTAAAGGATATCAAAATATACAAAAAAACTTAATATTTATTTGTTTACTTTATTAAACATTTCTTTCAACGCGTGCATGCGTAAAGAATACATTACGCATAGTCGAAATTAGAAAATTGCAATCAGAAAACTATTTGATGTGTATCCGTAATATAATGACGAGAAATTTGATTTAAATCATATCAAAAACGGAGTACATTGAGATGAAATACTACATTTAGCAAGGAATTACAAGCCGAATAAAATAAAAACATCTGCCCTGAATATAAGGATAGTGCTGACAGATCAACTTCCAGTTCATTGCGCGCCGTGATGTTCCTCCCCCCGCAGAGCAGTGTAAAATTGATAAACAGATTTCGGAAAGGTTAGAGAAACAAAGGATATGCCTTTATACATTTTTTGCAGCAATTCCACTTTTTGTTTGATGGACATCAAAACATGCTTTCGCTTTGTAGATCCAGAATCGGAAATTCTTTTTGACATAAACTAAAGTTCAAGCTTACTTTTATAAAATTGCTCCAACAGTCCGCAAAAAATAAGCCAGATCCAATTAGAAGATTAAGGAACAACGCAATCTGCAACATTAACTGAATTAGATAATTTTAGCTTAGCTTATACCGTCCGTTATACACTCATGATGGAAGAGAATGACCTGGTGATGACTCACCTCATATGATTAAAATTGTAGCATGAAACAATAAAATGGTAATAAAGTGTGACAAAGAGAGTTAAGAAAAAAAGGAATGATTCAGAAAAAGAATTAAGTCTTACGAATTTAATATGGAATATGATCTCCCCTGACTTGTACACACATATCACAACGTGTTTTAAGGCTGGAAATAACGTTGTTAACCACAGTTTGGGGAATTAATCTCCACTCTTCCAGCAATGCCGTCTTCAGAGCATTTACACCTCTAGGAGGAGGATGTATACGTGCAATTGCTCTTCCAAGGTAGTCCCATAAGTTCTTTATCGGGTTGAGGTCAGGAGAGTTTAGTGGCCAAGGTATTCGCTTAATGTCTTCACTTTCAAGGAATTCATCAACGAGGTTTGCTCGATGTGGACGGGCATTATCATCCATAAATAAAAAGTCAAGTCCATATGCACCCCTGAAAAGTCTTACATAAGTATCTAAGACCTCATCTCGATATATCTGGCCTGTCCCAGATCCGCTGCTGAACACGTGTAGGGGCGTACGTCCATCGATCATTATTCCACCCCATACCATCACACCTCCACTACCAAAATGGTCACGTTCCACAATGTTCGAGGGATCATTTCGTGTTCCTGACTCCCTCCAGATGTAAACACGTTTAGAATCACCAGTTAAACTAAACCGAGACTCATCAGTAAAGAGAACATGGGACCATTGATGTTCAGTCCAAGTTTTGATGTTCTGTACACCAATTAAAGCGATCCCTCTTTTTCTGTGAAGACAGTAAAACACATACCCTTGGCTTTCTGGCATAAAGACCTTTTTCATTAAGCCTTCTGTATATTGTTTGCCGTGATGCAACAGTTCCAGTGGCGGCTGCAAGCTCTGAACTTAACTGGCGAGCAATAGCCTTTCTGTTACGACGGGCAGTTAATGCCAGATACCGATCTTCAGAAGCTTTGTCATTCGTTCCGACCTTGTCCGGCCTCCTTACAACACTTCCATCATTTTGAAACTGTTTCCATAGCTTAGAACTGTCTGTCTTGACATATTCAACATGTGGCTGTTTCCATGATTGACTGCCTGCTTCTAAACGGCCGATAATTCGCCACGTTACAGATTCTTCCAAATGATACTTCGAAGTCATAACAAACCGCTTTGAGTCCCTACACACTGAAATCAAACGCTATGTTGCAGAAATTCACTCAAATATTCAGTTTGGGCAAAGCGCTATTCACCCTTGGATGACGTAATGCCTAGATTTGCATATCACAAACCGTTTGATTACTTTTGATTGGTTAATGCTAATTAGGCTTGGTTTTCACACATTTCCTGCAAATACGGATCACATTGATTCGATATTTCATTGAATATCATCATTTTTGGGTATGTAAAGATAATTTTGGACATGAGTGTACATTAAACGAGCATGCGCAGAAAGTTTGTAGCTTTGAGGTCCAGATTATAGATCATTCCGGATTATGGACGTCCAGATTAAAGACTTCTGACTGTATTCTTATAATAGAAAAGGGGTGGTCAATGTATGCTGCAGAAAAGCTTCTCGAACAGAAAGGTGATGATAAAGAAAAACTAAGTTATTTTATGAACTTGAGCATACTCTCTATAGCCACACTTGGAAATTTTCATTTTTGGGGGGTTAAAAATCTATTATCACATGTGCCACTAAAATGAAAGGTAAAGTTCAATAGGAAAATTTTTCACAGATAACAGCAAGTTTAACGAATTAATCAAATGAAAGAAACGAATTTAACAAATTAATTTCGTTTCTTACGACTTAAAATTTACACACATGCTCAGACATTCATACCCAGAATTAAAAAAAAAAATTTTTTTTGTCAATAATGAAATTCTGAATTTAGTTTCAGTATTGCATGATAATCAAAACCAACACTTAAATGTCACTAACATATTTAATGAACTTTTGTCATTATGCAGAATGATACTGGCACAGCTATAACATACTAATTTTTACTTGAAAAAAAATGCTCAAATTTTTTTAGTATGATTAGTCTTCATAGTAAAAAAATGCTGGATACATAGCTCAACCACTAAAAACTGCTATTGATTGGAAACTTGCCTTTACTAGAAAATCCACGAGCATAGCCTTTATACTTTAATATCATAAATTACATGAAATAAATAAAACTATTAAAAACTAAATTCCATATTTATTCAAATTGGTAGGACCATCTGCTACTACTTTTTTTTATCCTAAAAATAAATAATTATTAAATGATATGCATGGCTGGAAATTTCTGAATACAGCAAATGACATACTCTTATTTTAATGCCTTTATTTTTTAAATTGCTTCCAAATGAATTCGTTCTTAATTATATCCAAAAAATTAAAGATTAAAATTGCAATTTAAAAGGTCTACTAGACTTTTCGAGAAATGAAATACTCAGCAGAGAATGCACAGCTTATGTTAATTATAATTCTGAAGAGAAATTCTTGCAATTAGAAAAGCCACTACTTTTCAAATTGAAACCTTTTCCCGACTGCGATATTTTAAGTTTAGAAATGAAAAGGCAGATGTTATTAATGTCTGGATAAAAGGTAGAGAGTTAAAAACTGCAAGCAGAAAGTAAAATTAGCTTCTATAATTAACAAACATTCGAAAGTGAATTGTTGGGCATTAAAATAACACAAACAAGAACTAATTATCATACTTATTCAAAAAAATACAAAGAGGAAATTCTATATAGACTAAATAAAAATAATATTCACAGGAAAAGTGCACAGCAAAAATGGATGAGAAAAATACACATGTATGAATAAATTTTCAAACTGATACATATTCAAAAGAACTGCATGACGAACAGCAACAACGAACTAGCTACACACAGAAATGGCATTTTTCTTGAATCATCAAATTTGGCACATAATCAGATAAAATAAAAATTTTCACACGTAAAAAGCAGACTTTTATCCTAGAATATAATAAAATTCAGTAATTAAGATCAGAAAATCTTTTACCAATCTGTTAGGCCAAGAACTTACCCGCATTAGTTTTAATGAATATTCTCGCATCTCAATCTGTTAAATAAACTGTATTAATATGCAAAACAAGATATTAAATAATACAAACAAGAATTGACATATTTATTCAAAAGAGGCATAAAGAAGAACAATTTTTATGCAAACTAAGTAAAAACGGCACATTTACTTGAAATTTTCTCAAAAATTTACCAGCAAAAACTTGATGAATCTCTACATGAGCTAAAGAAAATACCACATTCAACTTGAAATGAGTTCAGTCAGAAATTTACTAGCACAATAAAAAGAGACATGGAGGGAAAAAAAAAAAGAAAAAACAAGAATTAATTTTTATATCTACTAAAAAAAAATGCAGAATGAGCAGCAGCAACACAAAACAAAGTAGACAATTAAAAATAATTTTAATGAATCGATCATTAATAATGAAATTCTGGGCATATACCACATAATCAGAGATAAAGTACAAATTTTCATACATAAACAGCAGATTTTATCCTACAATATGATTCAGTAATTAAGAGCAGGTAATATTTTACCAATTTGCTAGGCCAAGCTCTTACCATCATTGGTTCTAATGCATTTTTCAACAAACAGCATTACACATCTGTCAAATAAACTGCACTAATCTGCAAAACAACACATTAAAATAATACAACTAATTAACATATTGGCTCAAAAAAGGCATAACGAAGAGCAACTTCTACACAAATTCAGTAAAAATGGCACATTTACTTGAAATATCCTCAATCAAAAGTTTACTAGTAAAGCTTTTACATGTGTTAGAATTTTCGTGGTTACTTAAAAAAAATGGAAACAGTAATCTCTACACGACCTAAATGAAAATGGCGCATTTATCTAAAAACACGGTAATCGGCCAGAAATCTACCAGCACATAAAACAGAAAATGAGCATGAAAAAATATACGCATGCAAAAATTACTTTTCATATTTAATAATAAATATAAGATATAAAGCAAACACTTACCAGAGAAATAGAAACCTTGGGTATTTGACGAATAACCTGAAATTTGCCATTGCGCACATCTAAAAACAAACAACTTCAAATTAATCAAGCAAAATGTGTAAATTTGGAAAACAAGGTATTAAAAATTTACGATAGAATTTTAGCATACTTACGGATCAAAAACATACCACTCTTCAACCACAGTTCCAGAAATAAGAATGAGCCAATGACGCCAAATTACTTGGCGAGAAAGTTATTAGTAGATCTTCATGCAACCCAGAGAATCTCGTAACTCCTCCCATTTTTTCCCCCTTTTTTCTCGTGAAGATAACCTGTCAACAACGAATTCCCACATAGAGGTAAGTTCGTATTGTAGAGGATTTGAATTCTGTAATTTGTATTAATGTGTGAGTAGATCATATTAATGCTTTTACCTCAGTAAAATTAAAGTAACCTCTATGAAATTTTATAGGAGAATGTGGCTCTTATGTTTATTCAATAATAAATTATTTATCCCTTCACCGTTTAGAGATCTATGACATTTATAGGTTTTTCTGTGTAAGTTAAGAAGTGTAAGAAAAAATTACGGGTGCCCCTTGATGAAAATTGGCGATTTTTGGAGATTACATAGATACCATGTTTGTGCAATTCTTTGACTTGCTATTTTGGCTTTGTTTAGCGGCGATTTTTGCCCAAAAAATAGCCACTACGCAAAGCCAAAATAACAAGTCAAAGAATTGCACAAACTCGGTATCCATGTACACGTCGATCTATTTTCACTTAAAAAAAAAATCAGAGAATTACACAAACTTGGCATTGTGCACTCCATTGACTTTTTCAATGTACACATCAATCTGTTTTCAGTTAAAAAGTCAAAGAAGCAGCCAATTCGACACTAGAGCCAAACAAAAATATATAATCTCAACAAACTACATTTTAAATCAAACGATGAAATAACGGTACTTTTCCGTTAGGCGGGCGCAAATATTGCCAATTGTGAACCAAACGCGAGCCGATTCGCCAAGCAAAGCGAATGACTAAAAGTCAAAAACATTTAACTATAAACCAATATTTATTAATAGTAAGCAAAACAAGTTTAACTATAAACAAATATTAATGAATTATTAACAAAACAGTTTTACTGAAAAAGAATGCTTACAATTATTGGTTTTTCCAGAATACGTTAATGTTCTTGAGAATTTGCTCAAATAGATCGTTTACTCCTCGTCTCCACATAAATTCAGCGAGGTACGACTCCAAATGATGGTGAGAAGTTCCCCAATGTTTTTTATTACTCCATTTGGCACTGCCCCAAAGTCGTTCAATTTTCTGAATTTTTACACCAGGATCAACAAAATTGTACCTGTGATTGACTTTGAAATGCTGTAGACCAACTTCTTCCATTTTAGTTGTGCAGTAGCCCTTCCAGGAATCGGAATAGACGATTAACCCTTCTTTGATGTGATTTGTTATCGCATCTAACAGTACTGGTAAAGAACGGTTTGGAACTTTAACTAGAAAGCATTCGTCTGTTTCATGGCAAACACCACCAAATATCCACTGTTGTGGAAGAATTCGACTGGCATTGTTCTTTCATTTTGTAAATAAGCTCTCATCTGTCTCAACTATTTTTTCAGGACCACCGACAGAGTCGTAGCTAGGGTTTTTAGCGCTCAGGGGCAACTGAAGATTTCGCACCCCTACTGCTTGCCAAGAATGGAAAACATTTAATTCTAAAATGTCGTAACATCAATTTGGCACCCCTTGGATTCTGCGCCCGGGGACAGATGTTCCCCCTTGCTCCCCTCTAGCTACGCCCCTGACCATCCAATTTTTTTTTGGGCTCACGCTCTGCTAATACTTCTATACAAACTCTTCTTAAGTAGTTGTTCCAATCTACAGCTGTATTATGATTCATATCCAGTTGTTTTTCACACCATATGACTGATGTCTTCTCTTTTTTCAGCAGTAAAGAAATCTCAAAGATATCAGAAAAGTCAATCTGGTCGATTCGAACTCAATCTGGTCGTTCGGCCATACGCATTTCCTTTGCACACACATGACACATATAATGGCTATTAAGTAAACTTTTATTTACTAAACTAAACTCAGTGGTGCAACATCCCTATTGGGCCATGTCAGTGCTACTTTGGTTGATGGTTGCACGGATTTTTGACGATTTACATTGCCACAATTGTTGGCGCGGTTTTTACAGTCGTCAGCCATCTTGAAAATGCTGTTTTTTATGTATTTTATGCATATAATGAAGTATTCGAAACTTTAAAAAAATAAATATCGTTAAAAATAATGGATTCATTTTTTGTTGAAAAAGTTGTTTTTTAAGATGGCTGGCAAATGTAAATAAATACATTTACTAAGAGTAAGTAAGGTTAAATTATTACTTTCATATAATAGAATAAAAACACCGCTATAAAAACATAGCACCAACATTTAATTAGATTAAAATATTACTTAAATTGAACATCAAGTTAAAAACACCATACTAACGTTTAAAAGAATTAAAGGCTAATCTTTGGAATATGGTAACAGGTAGTATTTAAGATGGCTGGCAAATGTAAATAAATACATTTACTAAGAGTAAGTAAGTTTAAATTATTACTTTCATATAATAGAATAAAAACACCGCTATAAAAACATAGTGCCAACATTTAATTAGATTAAAATATTACTTAAATTGAACATCAAGTTAAAAACACCATACTAAGGTTTAAAAGAATTAAAGGCTAATCTTTGGAATATGGTAACAGGTAGTTTGGCGACATTTTGGTAAGGCGATAAAGGTTACTAGCTAGGACTTTAGCAGTGTACATGGAAAAGTCAAGAGTGTGCGCAATGCCATTTTTGTGCAGTTCTGGGAGGTTTTTTTAAGTAAAACTAGGTCGACGTGTACATGGATACCGTGTGTGTGCAATTCTTAAAAACACGTCAAGCAGTTTGTGATTCTGCACTTTCTCCCAATTTCGCACCTAATCTTTGTCATGATTAAGCACTTTTGTTCCATAAAAGTTCTAGCATAAGCGTAATTCGGCTAGCCGATTGTTGGAAAAAAATGTTGAGTTAAAAAAAAAAAAAAAAAAACCCTGCCTTTACTTTTTGAAAACAAAATGCCGTCCAAACAAAAACAAGCAGGTTGCTGTAGCAGGGTTGGTCGCCAAAAAATCACCAAGTTACCATAATCCAAAGATTAACCGAATTAAAATATTTAAGGCAAGAAAATGTGCAAAAGGTTTAAAAGAAAGTAGTAAGTCTTTGAAATGGTAATTTGTTCTAAGAGTCAAGTAGTGTAATACAATAATTAGTAAATAAACAAATTAAAAATTAAACTTTTTAAAATAGAATTAAAATCTAAGGCTTTAAAAAAATTTGGCCAAAAAAAGTTTGGAAAAAAAAGAGCCAAAGGCCTGGCTGAAACAGGTAAGGCGATTATGGTAAAAGTGGAGAACTGTAAGGCCAAGTCAGTGTTACTATTGTCCTTTAAGTGTGCTTAGAAAATTATTTAATGGGTGCGTTTTTTTAAGTTTTAAGTTCTTATAGGACGTTTTATTTAAAACGATAAATACTTAGTGTAATCTTAAAACACGTCAAAGTTTGTTGATCTTGAATTTTCTGATTTTTTACTAATCTTTGCATAATACATTTTTATTTGAATTTTCTAGTAAATTAGTAGTTTTTAGCCCGAGCGTGAAATTCGGCTATGCCGTTTGGACTTGCAAAAAAAAAAAAAAAAAAAAAAAAAAAAAAAAACCCTGCGTGGAAAACAAAAACAACAAAATGGAAGGTTCATGTTTTAAATACAAAAAGGTATCATCATCCAATAAAATTTTTTTATTATTAAATATACTTACTGTTTAAATAACTGAATAATTAAATTATATTAACATTATTACAATCATATGGGAATTGAAAATATCATTAAAACATATGTGGCAATAAATATCTCAGCAATTTTCTGAAAACAGTGTATTAATTTTTTAATAAAAATTGAAGTATACAATTATAAAGTAAAAGAAAAGGTACTATTCCGTTTTGAGGACCGTAAAAAATCGCAAATTATTGTTGATGGCAGTGCAGCCAAAAATAATTGCGGCAACCCTAACGTAAGAAAGGAGGTATAATGGTAAATAACTATTTGAAGATTATTGTTTTAATTTATATGAAAGGTTAATTTCATATAATACTTTTTTATTATTATAATTATATATAAAAAAGGCTAAACATAACTGAATGGAAGCATAAGAGTAAATAACTATTTCAGATCATTATTATAATTTATATAAAAAATGGCTAAACATAACTGAATTTATTCATGCATCGCCATTTCGTTACCGAATTATCGCGAGAGCATAATTTCATCTCGTTGCCTGGTCAAACATAATTTTTTATTATAAAAATGATCCTTTTCTTTGAAAAAATTCTATTGCAGACTTTTCTTCATGGGCAATTCCCAAATTGTTAAATCCATAGGATATCAAAAAAAGGATTTAAAAATTGAACTAGTATTTCAATGGTATCTTAAGAAATATAGAACTATCTAAACTTACGCAATTTGAAATCAGCGAGTACAGTAGATTTGGCGGGCTGTTAAATAGGTACGTTTGCTAGATTTGGCGCTTTTGCACAAAAATTTTCGCTGCAATTTTTACGGTCCTCAAAACGGAATAGTACCAAAGAAAATTATGTACTTACATTTTTTTAAAGTATTTTACCTGTCGTATATTGATATATACAATTATATATATTTGAATATATACAATTGATATACAGTCAAAAGTTGTTAATTCGGACACCCATAATCCGGACCTCAAAGCTACAAAATTTCTGCGCATGCGTCTCGTTGATGCATGCGCATAGGCGTTTACGCACGCACGTAAGACCTTTGTGGCTGCGCCTATGCGTGTGCGCATGCGCGTTTAATGTATAACAGACAGTATAAGCTAAAATTATCTAATTATCTATTTCAGTTAATGTTGCAGATTGCGTTGTTCCTTAATCTTCAAATTGGATCCGGCTTATTATTTTTTGCAGACTGTTAGAGCAATTTTATAAAAGTAAGCTTAAACTTTCGATTATGTCAAATAGAATTTCCGATGCTGGAGCTCCCAAAGGATATACAAAGCGAAAGTATGTTTCGATGTCCATCAAACAAAAAGTGGAATTGCTGCAAAAAATGGAGAAAGGCATATCCTTTGTTTCTCTAACCATTCCGAAATCTGTTTATAAATTTCACGCTGCTCTGCGGCTCGAGGGGAACACTGCGGCGAGCAATGAATTGGAAGTTGATCTGTCAGTACTATCCTTATATTCAGGGCAGATGTTTTTATTTTATTTGGCTTATAAT